CGGTGTATATTGCGACTTTAGGTTTATTTTGTGTTTCCTATTTGTGACTTGGTTGTTCTATTTTTTTTCTTCTTAAAAATGTCTTCACACTTTGAAATTGAAATTTTCAATGGAAAAGAGGATTTTTCAATTTGACAACAAAAGATGAAGGGTATTTTGGTCCAACAAAAAGTTTCAAAAACTATAGATGGCAAATTTAACAGAAGTACAAAAAAAAGTATGATGAACTTGCATACACTTCAATTATTTTACACCCGTCTGATACTGTTTTGAGAAAAGTAGGAAAATTGAATTTTACAAAACAACTTTGAAAAAAGTTGGAGGACTTATATTTGCTTAAGTTGACTCCTAATAAATTGTACTTGCTTGAACGATTTTTCAGCTTCAAAATAGATCCTTTAAAGAATCTTGATGACAATCTGAATGTCTTTAACAAGTTAGTTCAAGACATCGTTAATTGTGATAAAAAGTATCTGAAACGTATAAGGCTATTATCTTGCTTAATTCCATGCTTGATTCATATATGGAAGTTAAAAATGCAATTAAATACGGTAGGGACACCTTAACCCTCGAGATTGTCACAGACTCACTTAGGAGTAAGAAGATGGAGATTAAGGTTGAAAAAGAGGATAAGAGGAGTGACGAGTTACATATGATGAGGAGTAGGACGACGTTTAAGCAAATGAATTTGGGTAAAACTCAAAACGGTAGTGATTCGAGTAGTGACTCAAGTGATGAGGGTAGTAAGAAGAAAGGCAAGGGACAAGACAAGTCTAGTGGTAGAAGGTGTTACAATTGTCGTAAGTCTGGATACTTTATTAGGGACTGTCCCAAGAAGAAAGATAAGTTGAAGGGTAAGATGAGAGGTAAGACGAATTTGGTTGAGGGGTCGAGTTATGACCCCAGTGAGGTTTATTAAGTATAAACATAGTCACTGTATATGCATCTGTGTGTGATCCTTTTCTGCATGTGTGTGATTGTCTAAATTTTGTTGCATGATTATCTGCTACATCTCAATGTGTTTGATATGTGCATTTGCATGAATTTGAGACATTAGGATTACTTGGTGTAATTGCTTGCATGTATAGCGAGTTAGGATGCATTAGCAGTATGTTGTGTGTTTTTTAGTAAGGTGGAGTGTAGATACCTAGGGGTACATGGTGATTTGTACCGGGGATATGGAGTGTGACATTTGGATCATGAGTGGAGATGTGATCAAATGTCTAGAATCGTTTATCTGGAAATAGACCTTGATCAGGCAGAGTGTGAGAGAGACACTTCTATCACTTCTGTTAGGCGGAGACCCATTATCACTTGTCAGTTAGACATGAGTTGAGTGATCTGTCTAGTGAGCTTGGTGAACGATGAGAGGAGATATGTGTTTTCGAGGTGTGAACAATATGGAATGGGATAGGATAAGTGTGGTGAAATCTTTTCTTGGGGTCATTTATGCAGGTGTTACATATGTGGTTGACCGTAGTTTAATTGACTTGGTGTTAATCTATGGTTCTATGTGAACGTGTTTCTGAAAAAATCTGTGCGTTATCCTATAATATATCGTCATCGCACGTATACTTGCTCTTGATTGTTTACTGTTAAATATTTGTTTCTACTTGGGTGTTTTTGACCTTAGTCCCAGTGAGTACATGGAGCAGATATGATATGTGTTTCAAGTTGGAAACACGAGGTAAAGTCTGTGATCCAATTTTATTGGCTACCTTGATTATACAAGTGCTAACTGTGTGTTTTGATTGCTTGCAAATTTTTTGGGCATCGAGGTGGAGATTTGTTGGATTTTTGATACCCAATAAATCCTTGGCCATGATATTAACGTGAGTTAATATTATTTCATAGGACTATCCGATGAATGAAATAAATCAAACAACCAAGTCCATGAGCTACCCGGCCCAATTGTATTCCTTTATGGATGGCTTGAATTTTGGCCCGTTTACCACTTTAATGGTCCAACTTAAAGTCTAACCCTAGAGTATATATATGGCTATAACCATAGCCACTTTTTAATGATGTATTGTGTGATTTTGAGAGAAGAAAAAGAGAATCCCGACTGCCCCCTTTGTGTGAAAAAAAAGGTCTCTAGAAGTGTCCAAAACGTTTGTATAACGTGTGCAATTGGTGTTCCTTCATAGTATACATTTGTGGTGTCTTCTCCTAGCCTTTGTGGCCACAAATCATCATTTTTTTCTTGTCCTACGTGGGTAATATTGAATAGCAATCAAGGTGAATCAATTGGACTGGTTGTTGGTTGAGAAAGATGCGTTGGACTGAACCCGAAAATCATCGATTTGAATATCTTTCAAGAAAGCATTTGCAACATGGACGAAAATACAAGATGAACTCTTATAATACTAGTGAGATGGACGAGTTGAAAGAATTATTTGATGAAGGATTAGGTACATTGCTTTTGGTGCAAAAAATCAATTTTTTGGTCAGGATTGTATTTTTATTGATGAAGAATTTGGGAGGTGCCATCCATGCTGTATCCGTGATGGATTTTGGAAAAGGAATAGAAATCTATCCAACCGACGGTGGTTCCAATGGTGTTGTTGATGGGCAATGATGCCAATCGCTGAAGGGGGTATTGGTGGTGTGGGTGGAAGTGGGGGAAGAGGATGAAATTTTCTTTTCTTTTCTTTTTTCTTTTTTAATTTAAGTTTTTTTATTTATATTATGTGAAACATAAAGTTATCATTTTGCCATTTTAAGATTAAATAAAATGTGGTCAAAATCTATATTTTAGGTCAATAGATGTTAGTTTGAATGGAAACCTTTCACTTGGACATCAACTGCAACATTTTGGTCATGATTGCAACGATTGAAAGGTTTTGGATCTCTGCTACAATTATCCCAAAATTTAAAATAGGATAAAAACATATGGTACAAAATAAAGAATACTAAAAAATTAAAAGTATACTTTTTACTAACAATGTTATTCATAGTCTAATATTTTACTTTTAGTATTATAATTAACAATTATTTCATTGATCAACTTTAATGGGGCACTCTTGCATCCACCCAATGTGCTCAATTTGTCTAGTTGCACCTATCCTCGGGGTGACACGTCACATTTAAATAAACAATTTCATAACTTTATCTTATGAATCGCCTTCTAATTTTTATACCAAACATACCAAGTAGTTTCAATCGACTTGAATTTAAGTGCTTCTTTTCTGCGAAAAAATTCTTAGTTCAGGATTTCCTTGCTAAAATTATAAGTAAGTTGACGAGAAGTTGAGCTCAACCACAAATCCATCCGACACTTTCATTTAAGGCTTCGAAAGCGAGATAATTGACTATTAATAATTAAATAGCATTCAAATTTACTAAATTAAGTAAAATAGTAATTTTTTCCTCTCTCTCTCTCTCTATACATACACACACACATATATATGAATTTGGTAGCACTTGTAATCAACTTTAACAACTTTAAAAATTGTCAAGATTCGCAAGACTATTCATCAACTATAAAAAAGCTAAAGGTATATAGATGGTTAAATACACTTCAAATCTTGAAATTTTTGTTTCACATTCTTAGCTCATCGTATTATGCCGAGTATATAGGCTAAAAAATGCAAACAGAATAATCACTAGAAACTTAAGTGTTTTTAAGTTCGAACATTTTGTTTTATACGTAGTTAAACTACTGATCAATCTTAAGTTTCACAAAATCTTTAAGCTAGATTGACAAATAATCTTTTATAAATTGACTTGTAGAACGAATAGTCTTTAATAAAAAGAGGTGTTTAAAAATACGAGTTTTCTAAGCAATAAATAAATGCCAAACTAATTCTACACTTTCTGTTTGAGATGTGGGATACGCTGCTAATTTTAATTATGGAGGTAACAAAATTGTTAAATAAAATAAAAAAATAGTTAGATGACAAATTAGAATTTGACTAACATGTGAAAGAACCTCGATATTGTAAGTTATCATCAATAAAATTTTCTCGTTCGAAAGTGAATCACGTAGATGTAAAATTTATTGAAGACCTAAATCAATTAAATAGTAGCATCAAAATAGATTTAGACCAAACTAAATTATTATGTTATATAAACCGATTTTGGAATTGGTTCAACGGTAACATTTAATTTATGAACCGACCCGAGTCAGGTGACCCACACTTACCCGTGCTGTTTTGTCGTTTTTCCCGTGGATCCCGCTTTGCCATCTAAGAACCATACATTACTTCACAATTAGTGAATTACAGTGCAGACACACCGAGGTAGATAGGGTCACTGTTGAAAATTGCATAATTGGTCCCCCATGTATTGCATCATTAACAAGGACGAGCCAGGAGAGTAGAGTTGTGAGAGTAATTTCCACAAAATTTTAATTGTCTGGGCAAAATTAAAAATTAGAAGGAATTTTTTTTCTTTCCCTTTTTTTGGTTTTTTTTGAAAATCTTGAAAAATTTATTACAAAATCTTGGATTTTAAATTTAGTGCGGGATAGCTAACCTATTGTAGATCCACCATGATCGCTAAGATGTTGATCTCTAAGTTCTCATTATAGTTACATAATTAGCATTTCTCCGACGCTCCACCAAGAAAAATTGCACCATTTATATTCAATTTTCAAAAATAGCAATTGGTCTATAGCTTTGCATTATTTGAAACTCCATACATTGATGAGAAGACGAATCCAACTATACGAAGATGATTCATGCTTCCAAATATGTGGTAACGTTTACAAATTTAAAATGGGACGTGTTTTTATTAATATCATGTAAATGATTATCGAAGGTATGAAACTTGGACGAGGATATTTATTTGACTGGTTCATTAGATGTTGAAATTTAAGTGAACAAAATTCAATTTTATATTGTATTATATCGATGAAATAGTTAAGGAGACATTCGAGTTGTAAAGCAAAGAGGACATTGATTGAGCAACATATTAACTTGTGTACTGATAGTGCAATACTCAATATTCTAAGGCTTTATTACACACAAATGCAGTATTTATATGGGAAAGAATACACTCTTAAGAGTTACCTATCTAGGATAGCTCTCTATTGGGGAGGGTTGGCAGCAACCTGGCATGCTTTGCCTTCTCATCTTCTTCATTGCCATTTCTTCTTTGATTTTGATTTATTCACATTAATACTTTTCCATCAATCTTTGTTTCTCCATTATCCCATACCCCAAATTTCTATTTTCTAGATCTACTTCGTTTTTGCTTAATTTATACTTTAAAAAGAAAAAAGAAAAAAAAAAACCATGTTCCAGCAGGAAAAGGTCTGAACACGGTAACCAATTTCCACAAATCTGGTGTTCAGAAGTATAAAATCCCTTTTCCTTGAGGTTTTTTAGGGGAGGTTTGGTGGGGAAAATGAAGGTGTCCGTGTCTCTGAATAATTCTGAAAAAAATTTATGGGATCCTTTGAGAAGTCCATCGGTGCCACCTATTTCGCCGGCAGGGATACAGAGTAGAGCCTTGCCTAGGCTAATGGTATGGCTGCTTGTGTTTGTCTCCGCTACCTATTTAGTGTACTCACTGAAGCTGCTTTCCTCTTCTCACGGTTGTAACGAAGATATTTTCACTCTCCGTCACAATACCATAAAATTGGTTTCGGTCCAAAATGCCACAATATATCCTCTGCAAATGGCCATGGAATCAGAAGAACGCGTTGAAAAAACCGGATTGCAACACATAGTTTTCGGCATTGGGGCGTCAGCCAAGCTGTGGAAAAAGCGGAAGGAGTACATAAAGTTATGGTGGAAGCCCGAAATGAGGGGCGTAGTTTGGCTCGACACCCGTTTGAAAGAACACCCCAATGAGACTGAGAGCCTCCCAGAACTGAGAATCTCGGCCGACACTTCGCGTTTTCCTTACAAGAATAAGCAGGGACACCGGTCCGCCATTCGGATTTCTCGAATTGTATCGGAGACATTAAAATTGGGAATGGAGAATGTGAGATGGTTCGTAATGGGAGATGATGATACTGTATTTGTGACTGATAATTTGGTTAGGATTTTGAACAAATATGATCATAATCAGTATTACTACATTGGGAGTTTGAGTGAGAGCCATTTGCAGAACATTTATTTCTCTTACGGAATGGCTTATGGTGGTGGTGGATTTGCCATTAGCTACCCTTTAGCTAAGGCTCTAGAGAAAATGCAGGATAGGTGCATTCAGAGGTACCCTGGATTGTATGGTTCTGATGATAGGATGCAGGCTTGTATGGCTGAACTCGGTGTCCCACTCACTAAAGAACTTGGTTTTCACCAGGTGAGTTAGTTCTAGTTTCTAATTTTACAATGTCTTTCTAAGTTTCCATTTGTTTTACTTTACAAACTTCATAGAGTAATCATTCTGTACAAGATTATATTAGGCAGTCCACACATGTACTATTTAAAAATTGTGAGCGGTGAGTGGACCTTAGTTCTTGACGGTGAATTGCACCGCATATAGTAGTTGAGGTTATGGCTTTGTTTCCTTGCCGACACTGCTTTTGGGGATGATAGAACTGGAAAGTTGTGGACTTTTCTTGAATTAAATATTTCAATAGTACTACTAGATAGCAAACAGCACAGGTGCTGAGTTGTGTGGTTACTTACTACTTCTCCTTTTTTTTTTTCGTGGTTGTGTGTGTGTTCAACGACGCTGCGCGCTTTGTATCACCTGTTTTATAACCCTACATTGAGCCTATTTGTGTTTCTATTTTTATTTTTTATTTTTGAAAATGCAGTAGTACAGATAAAGCAGAAGGTTGTCCCCTCTCCAATAATTATTTTTTTTTGAAAGGTTTTTAAATTATTCAAGTTAAATTTCTGTTCCTCAGATTTGAATCATTTGATCAATGCTTTTGAATTTTTTAACTTTTAAATATAAGATATTTTGGACAATAGTTGGTATTTACCACCCATACGTCACTGGTTTCAATGTGTTGGGGTTCCAAATTGGGTAGACTTTGACTTAGGTCTGTAAAATCCCACGATCGAGAAGTCCAATGGACCCAAAGATGTGGGGTCTACCTAAAATACATTATTAATTTGTTGGTGGGGTGGGTGGGGGTGGACTTGGACGTGGATGGGGCAGGTGTTGTTGAATATGTTTGAGTTGTACCTGAACATAATTATGGGTTGATTTAATTACATTATTGTTTGACTAGTGCTTTGTCGAAAAGTTAATAGTGGAATTGGGTTGGTTTGATTATCAATGCTTGGTTTTACGGTCGGAAATTGGTGAATTGGGCATGCTTGGTCAAGCGTAAAAAGTTTACATATAAGTAAATAAAAAGTTGTTGATCTTAGTTAATAAAAGTCACTTTCAAGAAAATGACTTCATTTTGAGTTAACCAAACATCAGATTGTGACAGAATTCTAACATTGTCTCTTCTTGGTGGATCTCGATTAGTATGATGTGTATGGGAACCTATTTGGGCTCTTAGCCGCGCATCCCGTCACCCCATTGGTGTCATTGCACCACCTCGATGTGGTGGAGCCGATCTTTCCCAATGTTACTCGAGTCCAAGCTCTCAAGCGGTTGACAATTCCATTAAAACTCGACTCTGCTGGTCTAATGCAACAATCTATTTGTTATGACAAAGTGAATAGTTGGACCGTTTCAGTTTCTTGGGGCTTTGCCATTCAAATATTTCGTGGGGTGTTGTCGCCCCGGGAGATAGAGATGCCATCGAGAACCTTCTTGAACTGGTATAAAAGAGCAGATTACACCGCTTATGCATTCAACACGAGGCCTGTTATGCGAAACCCCTGCCAGAAACCCTTTGTGTTTTATTTCTCAAATGCTAGAATGGATTCTCGGATGAATCAAACAGTGAGTGAGTACCATAGGCATAAAGTCCCTCATCCCGTCTGCAAATGGAAGATGGCCAATCCTGGTAAAGTTGATCAAGTCGAAGTGTACAAGAAGCCTGACCCGCATCTCTGGGATCGGGTAACTCCATTTCCCTACCTAACTGGTTCATTCTACATTACAGTTTTGCTTCATGGCAGTATTTCCACTTGCATAATATTGATCCTTTTTTATGATTCTAAATCTAAAAGAAAATGCTTGTAGTAAGGCTACTAATGTTAAGAAATTTGTTCTCTCTTATATGTATTATAAACATTGATAGGAGGTGGTTTGATACAAAAGAGTAACAGCCAAATAACTATAAAATTAGGCCTTGGTAGATGGCTAAGTAAACTTGGATTTATATTTAATTAAGTTTACCTTCCATTTAATTTGTTTAAAGAACCTGATTTGTATTGTTCTGGGGCAGTCTCCGAGAAGAAACTGTTGCCGAGTCATGGAGTTGAAGAACAAAAGAATGGCGATCGATGTGGGTATGTGCAGGGAAGGTGAGATCAGTGAAGTATAATCTTTCTTGTACCTCCCTTCGTCCATTTGATTATTTACTGTATTCCTTCAATTTGTTCGGTTCAAGTCTTCAAATTACTTGTCCTAGTGAACGAAGAATTGCCGAGGGAGAAGGCGAATCAATGTAAAAACATTGTATACGATTACTGAATCTGTGTTCTCAAGAATTTGGTAATATTAGTTCCATTTTTGCTAATATATATATTATTATTTTTTTATTTTTTTTATTTTTCTAACTCTGGAGTCAAAGATTCTTAGTGTTTGTTATTTGCATCAATTTAATTACCAGAATGTTTTAATAATCTGTTTGGTTATTAAGAACTATTAGTTAGTCACTGTCTTGATGGATTATTTTTGTAAACGTTTTATGTAATTTGCAATTATCACCTTAGTCCTTGTTTGAGCTCCATTTTTTCAAGAATGATATATATATATATATATATATATTTTTTTTTTTAAAACTTATTTTCAACTACACATTTTTCTATAAAATAATTAAACCCTTATTCCAAAATTTTTTTCTTACTTTTTAATTAATTACACATTCTCTTAAAAACTACAATTTCATAATGCATTTTATTCCAAAAATGAGAATCAAACAGCGGTTTAGTTCTAGTTTCTAAATTAATTTTTCAATGAATGTGCTAATTTATTTTCTTATTAAAGGGTTGATGAGTCTAAATTTTTCTTATGGGTAGTAAGAGCACCTTCAACTTTAACCATATAAGATTCTCTCTATTTTAAAAAGTCAATTCTTAAAATTATATTTCAAAAGATTTTTGAAATTAATATTTTAAAATAGCGTTAAAAGTTTGACCTACTAAATTTGGGAAGTTACTTTTTATAATTAAATGAGTTCAATGTATTTCACTTTTTAATTAAAGAAAATAATATAATAATTTAGAGAACAACTGATGAAGATAAAAGATATGGAAAAATAATAAATATTTTTTGAGAGTAATGAATTAAGTATTAAACATGAAGAGCCTATTTGAGTAATTAAAATTTTTTATTTTCTAAATTTATAAATGCACTTGGAAAGAGTACCATAATTTATTAATAACATTTTTGTGCAAACTTTCGTAGCTAGACGCTCCATTAAAAGAGAAATATTTCAATAGGACAGTTGCACTTACCCATCGAAAAGGTCTTACTCAGGGCTCTTTTCACCAAATATTTGAAAAGTCAAAAGTAATTTTTTGAAATAAGAAAGTGCTTTTGAATCTGTTTAGATAATTTTTTAAAAGTATTTTGTCCAGCCAAGAAAGTTTTTAGAAGAAATTGATTTAAGATAGTTTTTTAAAAAAGTTTTTTTTACAAGAAGCTGAAGTAATTTTATTTATTTATTATTATTATTATTATTTTACAAGTAGAAGTTCTATCAGATAGCCCTTCAATATAAAATTCATCTTTATTTTCATTACATTGCTACAAGATCAAGCAATTCCATAATAATATATGCGAAAGTGTGAAATACATAAATATGAGAATGAAGTTTGTTGATTCTTAAAAATGTCATGAATGGAGCGATTAAACACTAGTTGCTTCAATTGAATATTGAAAATTGATTTCAAATTATAATATTATTGATTCGTGCGAATATTGATTAGAATTGAAAAAGGAATAATTGCAACAGAAATCTAAAACCTTTTATTTGTTGCAGTCATCATCCCAAATTTTTTAATACGTTGCATCTGAGGCGCTTTTGGATGAAATCTGTCCAATTTTTCGTTAGTTGACCTAAAAAGTGATTTTGACCTGAAAAATTAATTTCGATAACATTTTACTCAATTTTAAAATGGCAAAATAGTTATTTAATATTTTCTCCACCGACATTCTCTCTCTCTCTCTCCTCCAGGAAAAAACTTCAGTCCCAATTTCGCGATTTTCAAACTTCCCCCAAAATATATGTGATTTTTGGGGTTGAAAAACCCAGAAAGCTACGAATCAACTAATATACTATGTAGTATTTATTGAACATGAGGTATAATAAAACAACGGGTTTTGAAGTTCAAAAAAAGGAGTTTTATTGGTGCATCTAAGCTGCAATATACAAGATGCAAGCTAGATTCTATCATCATCATCAAAAATCAAAAGGTGTTGATTAAAGATTTGAATAGCAAAAAAAATTCATTAAGAAACAGGAAATACAATTACAAATTGGAATGGGAAATCACAGATCTGAAAAAAAAAACTAAGCTAAATTCCCATTTATAGCTAAAAAGAATCAAATTTCACCAACAAGAACAGAACAAAAACAAAGCAAATCCCCCTGAGCAATTATAATCACACATCAGAAAGAGATCCAAAGCCTCTCTCTCTCTCTCTATATTTATATATGTGCATTTTCTCACTCAAAAACAGAGTACCAGATTAGGACTGAAGTTTTTGGGAGAGAGAGAGAACGTGGGTGGAGAAAATATTAAATTACTATTTTGCCATTTTAAAATTGAGTAAACATGGTCAAAATTAATTTTTGGGTCAAAATCACCATTTTAGGTCAACTAACAAAAAATTGGACAGATTCCATCCAAAATTGCCTCAAATGCAACGTTTTAAAAGGTTTGAAATGACGGCTGCAACAAATAAAAAGTTAGGAGAAAATCTACTAGACTAGGACTGAAGTTTTTGGGAGAGAGAGAGGGAATGTGGGTGGAGAAAATATTAAATTACTATTTTGCTCTTTTAAAATTGAGTAAATGTGGTCAAAATTAATTTTTCGAGTCAAAATCACTTTTTTAGGTCAACTAATGGAAAATTAGACTGGTTGCATCCAAAAGGCCTCAAATGCAACATTTTAAACAGTTTGGGATGACGACTGTAACAAATGAAATATTAGGAGAAAGTCTGCTAGTGTTTAAAATGTTTGATACTAGGAGAAAGTCTGCTAGTGTCTAAAATATTTGATACTTCTGTTGCAATTATCCCATTGAAAAATAAAGAAAACACTCAATTTTATTTTTATTTAGTCAAATTCAAAACCTAATAAGTGAAAACAAAGTGCTGTGACTATGTGGAGAATGTGGGTGGAGAAAATATTAAATTACTATTTTGCCATTTTAAAATTGAGTAAACATGGTCAAAATTAATTTTTTGGGTCAAAATCACCATTTTAGGTCAACTAACAAAAAATTAGACAGATTCCATCCAAAAGGGACTAAAATGCAACGTTTTAAAATGTTTGGAATGACGGCTGCAACAAATAAAAAGTTAGGAGAAAGTCTAAGCAACGTTTTAAAAGGTTTGAAATGACGGCTGCAACAAATAAAAAGTTAGGAGAAAATCTACTAGACTAGGACTGAAGTTTTTGGGAGAGAGAGAGGGAATGTGGGTGGAGAAAATATTAAATTACTATTTTGCCCTTTTAAAATTGAGTAAATGTGGTCAAAATCAATTTTTCGGGTCAAAATCACTTTTTTAGGTCAACGAATGGAAAATTAGACTGGTTGCATCCAAAAGGCCTCAAATGCAACATTTTAAACAGTTTGGGATGACGACTGTAACAAATGAAATGTTAGGAGAAAGTCTGCTAGTGTTTAAAAGGTTTGATACTTCCGTTGCAATTATCCCATTTAAAAATAAAGAAAACACTCAATTTTATTTTTATTTAGTCAAATTCAAAACCTAATAAGTGAAAACAAAGTGCTGTGACTATGTGATTTTAATTAGGGTGAACGCTGTTCGATTTTGACAGTTTGTATTATATTTTCAACTCAAACTATTGTAAAGGTTTGAAATTTTTCTAAACCAAACCAAACCATTTTATATTCAAATCAAACAATTATCTGCGGTTTGGTTAGATTTTAATCTGCGATTTACTTGTCAATGTTATAATAATATATTTAAAATAAGTTTATATATATATAGCTCACATTTAAATTCAATGTTTATGTTTATAGATCATACTTAATTGACGACATAATGATTGAATATATAGTTACAAAATTTATGGACTATTTTATTTCAGAAACAAGACAAATAAAGACTGCAAGTAATTTTCGGTTCAGCAACTTACGCAGTACATCAAGAAATTGTACCTCCCAGAAACAAAATAAAAAGAGGTACTGACCAGCGGAAATTACTGGAGAAAGCAATATAAGCAGCGAATTTTGCAATTTTTTTGTGCGGCTCTACTTTTAAGCACTAAACCAAAATTGCTAATTGTTAAAAAAATATAGCAATGGAGAAAATAGAAAAGGAAGAAGATGATAATGAAATCTGGCAAAGACTTAAACACGAAGAATATATCGTTGTCTTCAAAAGATATTTGCCTCTTCTTGATTTGCTTTTAAGGATTGAAAATGGCAAATAATTTGTAGAATTGATCAAGCCTTAAAAAAGAACATCAAAAGCAAAGTATTCTTCAAATTGAGCAAGTGAAAAAAGGAAGAATTTGATTATGTATAGAGACAATGTTTTATGCAAAACTGAAAGAAGTTGCAAATGGTTTATTTATTTTATTTTTATTTTTTAAGGGATGAACACATCATGTATTTATAGTATTCTACCATCCTTACACGAAGTGTTTTCAACTCAAACGAATAGGTGCGTGGTTTCACCAAGAAAACCACTAGACATTCTAGCCTACGGTCACTTTTTTCTATTATACGAAGTCGCATAGGCTATAACTATGCGACCAATGAGATCGCATAGTTACAACCTTTGCCTCCTTTGATTTCTCTGCATGGACCTATGCGACCGCGTGCCTAAATGGCCTATGTGACTGCATAGGCCACGTTGCATAGACCACTTTCACGGCCTCCAATTTCTTCTTTTAATTCATCCAATGATTTTTGTCAATTCATCCAAGATTTTTCAACAACAAAATTTTAACAATTCCTCACTTGTTCAAAATCAATGTTAATCACATAATCATATATCAACACTCATACATAAGAATTATATATCTTTTAATTTGAATCTAACCATAGTGTCAATCTTATAAAGCATTATCGAAAATCGAAGTAGCTAGGAAACTTTGAACCAATCATTCCTTGTGACAATACTGATGAGATCACACACACACATGTGTGTTAAATTTTATAAGTTCCTCTTACTCGTTTAGTACTATTATAGCCTTACACTTATCATTTTTCATTGAACTCTTAAAGAGAGAAAACGCCAATTCTCTAATGAGGCAACACCACCTCGAAGTTTACATAGGTGAAGATCTTCTAGTATCTTTGTCACTTTTAGAG